CGCAGGAAAATGCAATATTTTGTAAAACTTTAAAAATTCATTATTTGAGTTCCTAATGTCCAATTGACGCGTTTGTCATACTCAAAATTTGTCCACCTTAATACTACGTTTAATTTCTTATTTGTCACTATTTTTTGGATTACTCATGCCAATTTTTGTAATCTTTTTTCAATATTTAACTAATTTTAAAAACATATGTATCCCTATTTTATTTACTTTTTGTCTCACTAACAATGCTTACTAAATTTGTCTCACTAACTAAATATATATATATATATATATATATATATATATATATATATATATATATATATATATATATATATATATATATATATAAATTGCAACTTTCGTCTCTATTATCCTTTTCTATTTATTTTAGTCCTCCTATTTTAAAAGTCGATATTCGTAGTCTCTTTATTTTGTTTTTTTAGTATTTTAGTCCCTCTTCAAATCTGAAAGCATTTTTAATAACAAGAGAGTGCTGATAGTGACGTTTTAGGTATTGGTCTTTATGTATTACACTCTCAAATGTCATTTTACCTTTGCATGTTTGTTTGTTGTGACACATATTCCCTTATTTTTTACATTTCATTATTTGAAGAAATCTAGGAAAATTATTTGTGTTTCTAGGCTCATCATTTGTCTTGTTACTGTTCTTCTTTGAGCGACCAATAACTCTCCTCATGACTGGATGGTTGATTGACTCAATTTTATTTATTGATCATAGTTGTGGATCATTTGTTGGTAAAATGATATGAAGGGGGACTATATATATATATATATATATATATATATATATATATATATATATATATATATATATATATATATATATATATATATATATATATATATATATATATATATATAATCGAAGAGTAACTCTTTAAAATTACTCTACATATTAATCCTTAATTAAAATTTAATCCAACATTTTGATTATGTTTTTTTTTTAATATTTGATTTTTCCCCACAAAATTTAGCATATCTAAACATTCCTTAAATATGTATGATTTTATTATTAACCTATCAAATTTTATTTGTTCACGCTCTCTCTTCTTTTTTTCAATTTTCTTGATTGTAAGGAAAATATCACCTGCTATATTTTTTACTCTAAGAAAGTTTAAGTATTATTTACTATTTAAAATATAGCACGTCTATAAAATATATTTTTGAATATTAAGAATGGGTGCATGTGAAAATTGTTTTAACTTCAAAATTATTAATTTTAAAATTAATTTATCATCTATTTTAACTAAAAAAGGTTAATTTTCTTATTTTATATTTTAAACTGGGTATAATTTATTTATTTTTTTACTTTTCAATTATAATATATTTATTTTGAACTTTAATATTGGTATTATTTTATTTTTATTTTTTAAATTTAAATTGTAATATGTTTATTTTATAATTTACTATTAGTATGATTTTATTCATTCATTAATTTAAAATTATAATAGTAAAAGTATTGGTATAATTTTAATCACTATTTAATTTTGAATATACTATGTAAGTTTTCTTTATTTTATTTTATAGAGTTCATATAATTTTATTTATTATATAATTATTATTTTATATGAATTATATGAACTCTATAAAGTTTTATTTCATAGAGTATATATAGTTTATTTTATAGAGTTTGTATAATTTTATTCATATGATTTTATAGAGTTTATACAATTATATAATTTTATTCACGTAATTATAGAGTTTATATAATTAATAAAACTATATAAAATAAATTAAAGAAAAATGTACATAGTATTTTTAAATGTTAAATATTGATTAAAATTATACCAATAATTTTAATATATAATTTAATTAATGAAAAATAATACTAATAACAAATTATTAAATAAACATATTACGATTCAAATTTAAAATAAAATAAAATAATACTAATATTAATATTAAAGTTTAAAACAAAAATATTAAAATTGAAAAGTAAAAAAATAAATAAATTACACCCAAGTTAAAATTTAGATTAATAAAATTAATTTTTTTAAATTAAAATAAATTATAAATTGATTTTAAAATTAATATAAAGTTAAAACAATTGTCACATGCGCTCATCCTTACTATTCAAAAATATATTTTATAGACATGTCATATTTTAAATTACAAATAATACTTTCTAACAGTAAAAAATATAGATGGTGATATTTTCGTAGAATCAAGAAAATCGAATAAAAAGTTGTAAGAGACAGCATGGACAAATAAAATTTGACATGTTAATAATAAACCATACATTTTTAAGGAATGGTTAGATATGCTAGATTTTGGGGGGAAAAATCAAATATTAAAAGAAAAATAACATGATCAAACCGTTGGATTAATTTTAATCAAAAATTAATATATGGAATAATTTTAAAGAGTTACTCTTGGAGTAATCATCTTGGAGTAATCAAATGTTGATTATAGATATATTTCGACTAGTAATATTGCATCATGGCTATATGTTAGTCAAAAGAGTGTAGCGTTGGTAGCCTCTTTAGGCGATGATCGGCAGATCCAAAGGATTTGATCCAAAGGTCTTTTTATAATTCTTTGGCTTCTTTTTCACATGTTTCTTTATTAAACAAATCACTACTTTATTTTCTGCTTCGACCTGTCCATTTTCTTGAGCATGCTAAGGTGTGAATGTTAGTAGTTTAATCCCCACCTCTTTAGCGAATTCTTGCATCTTTCGATTAGTAAAAAATGACCCTTGATTGGTTGTTTTGGTCTCAGGAATTTCAAACCTGTACATTATATTCCTTTAGATAAACTCAATTAATGCTTCTTGATCTACATTTGTCAAAGGAATGACTTCGATCCATTTAGTAAAATAATCAATCCCCACTAAGATGTATCTTTAACCTTTTGAAGACGCTGGTCAAGTTTCTCCAACCAGATCCAAAACCCATCCTTTAAAGGGCTAATACTTGATAATAAAGTGTAGTTCGCTTGCGGGAACATGTTGAATACCTGTTTGAACTTGACATTCTTGACAACCCTAAGCGAATTCAATGCAATCTTTTAACATTGTTGGCCAATATATACCTTGTCTAAATAGTAGCCATTTCATCTTGTGTCCAACCTGATGGGCATCATATGCCCCACTGTGGAAATTCGAAAGAGCCAAATATGCCTCACATTCACTAAGGCATTTGAGCAAAATTCCTTCAGGCGTCTTTTTGAACAGTTCGTTACCCATAAGAGTATAGCTTATAGCGCGATACCTAATCTTTCATTTTGCAACTGCTGTGAGATTTTCCAGATAATCTACTATTGGTTTCCTTCAATCTGTTTCTGTTAGGTTGTCAATCACAAAAACTTTGAAATTTTCCTCATCTGCGTAACCCAGCTTTGACATATCTAGATCAGATGGAGATAGTCTTGTTGCCATCATTCTCCCTCGAACTTCGATCAGGTCTTCTAACTTCTCTTTTGACACCTTATATCAAGATTTTATATGGGCAAAGTCATTGGCCTCTTGATTCTTAAGTCGAGGAATGTGTTTGATGTTCACGTACTTAAATTTTCGCAGTAACCTATTTGCTACGATGAAGTACACGATTAAATTTTCCTTGACACATTTGTACTCCTTAGTTATTTACTTAACCACCAATTCAGCGTCTCCTCTTATATCGACCCTAGTTTCCCCTAATTCCAACAAGATATCAAGGCCAATTATCAAAGCCTCATATTCAGCCTCATTGTTTGAGCAAGGGGGGCCATCTATTTTGTACTTGAATTTTGTTGGAATTTTGTTAGGAGAAATAATCAAAACTCCAACTCCAGTATCATCCTTATGCGTTGAACCATCAAGTTCCACCAAATTCTGAGGAACTTCAACTACAACATGGTCAACTATAAAATCTGACACCACTTGCCATTTCATAGCTTTTAAGGGAATTTAAGTCAAAGAATATTCAGTCAAGGCTAATGCCCATTTTCCAATTCTAATATGCAAGATAGGTTTTCAAAGCATATGTTTAATTATGTCAAAGTGAGACGAAACGTAAACGTTAACTGATTTTATATAATGCTTCACTTTTGTACAAGAGAAATACAAGCATAGGCATAATTTTTCAACCATACTATATCTAGTTTCTGCATCAATTAAGAAACGACTAAGATAATAAACAGATCGTTCGATGCCATTTTCATCTTCTTGAGCAAGCACGCTCCCTATAGTGACTTCAAATGCAAAGATACAAAAGTTGAATTAGTTAATTAAAAGAAGTTTGATTTTGGATAATAAACCGGTAAACGATATATCGACGATTTAATTACTCGAAGATGTGTATTCTTTTATCTGTAAAAAATTGAATTAGTTTGATAAAAAATATTTGAATTATGGTGTGCTAAATAAAAATCTTAGAATTAAGGCCCAAGGCCTAATAAACATCTAAAACCCTAAATATAATTAAACAAAAATTAAAATAAATAAAAATGTAAAAACATATCAAGACTAGGGACTTCGCCACTATGTCTATTGCCTCGTGTGAAGATGGATAGGAAAAGTGAAAGTAAGATCAATCAAAACACATGGGATATACAAAGCCAATTACTTTTTCATTTTTTAATAAAACCTAAAAGCTATTATAATCAAAATAGATAAACGACATATCAACATGAATTATTGTTGCTACAAAGTACATGTGAAGAAATAGTATTACAATTTGTTGACTTTTCAACACCTCCTCAACTACCCAATCATTTCATGACATGTGGCACATAATAAAAGAAATAAATAAATAAAAAACAAGAAAATAAAGAGAATAAGACATAGTAAGGCAAAAATATTAAACTCTTTGGTCTCTCTTCTCGTTACTCTTTTCTTCTTCTTCTCTTATTTCTTCTTCATTATTTCAAACAAACTTCACTCTTTAAACATAACCCACACCCCAAAAACCAAACAACAATATAAAAACATAACAAGGTAAAATCTGACCAGTGGTGGTTACAACTTGAACGGCGTCGCGCAGAGGGAGATCTAACGATGAGATTCCATGGCTGTGTTGAGCAGAGAAGCTAGCGGTTCAAACCGACGGTTGTCGCTGATGTTCACTGATGGTCAGCGCACAAATGTGCCGGATTTAGATCTCGCGGAGGTTGACGGTAAGGCGGGTCCGGCGCGGGTCAATGGTGATGCCCGTTGTTCGTGGGGCTGTGGCTGCACGTCGGGGTCGAGTCGTTCATGCACGGCCTCTCCATGATTGCAATTTATCTTTTTTTGTTATTGTCTCCAGATTTCGATGCATTGTCATCTTTGTATTTGAAAGTTGAAGAAGCTGCCATGGAATTGAATCGTACCAGATCGCAATCAAGTGGTATGTATTTTGATGAGTTAGAAGTAATGAGGGCTTGAAAATCTGACAGCTGAAGATTGTTTCTCTTTTCCAGAAAATAATAAAAATGAGGTTAGAAAAAAGAATGAAATAAGGGTTCTTTCCATCTAAGCTTAGAATTTGTGTAGGAGTTGTGAAGTTTAAAAGTAGGACGATAACGACTATTGGGGCGAGGTGTTATGATGGTGGGTGATGATAAAGGTTAACAGAGGAAGTATGTATTGTTTTTTTGGTGACAAATATGTGCTAGAAAATTTTGTATATTTTTTTTTTGGAAGTTAGTAAGGTTTTTTGATGAGAAAAGTGGGTGTATCTGCAAGGAGGTTATCTCTAAATGGATGTTTGTGAATGTACAAGAAAATAAGCGAAAAAAACAGTAAATAAACTATAAATTTTGAAATAAAATAGTGGTCTCATGTTAAATCATTAGTCAAAATTGGTTTGAATGAAATTGTGGGTTTCTGAATTATTGGTAAAATTGTCAATTGTTCATGAATTGTGGATCTACAAAAAAATATTTTTTAAAGAATAACCCTCAGATAATATCATCATATGATTTAAACAATGAGTAAATCAAATTTAAGAAGATAAAATCGAAACTAAGAGGGATGCCTCATATTAAATCATCGGTCAAATTGTTTTATAAAAAAAATTTAGAAAGAAAGTTTTGAACAAAAGTGTAAGAATGATAGAGTAAAAATGCAGTAAAAGTTGTGTGTGAAAAGTTGGTAACTGTTGATAGACAAAGTGTTAGCGAAGAATGTAAGAATTGTGGATTTGTGAGAATTTGTGTATGATTGTGGAATTCGCGATGAATTGTGTGTGTGTGAATAATAGCGGAGTATGAGAATTGTTAATGAAAAATTAGGACAACAATGAATCATATTTATAGAGTTAAATTAGGTTAAAAATTTGGAGAGAAAGTTATCCCAAAATGAATGTAAAGCCCAAAGTCTGATCTCTAAAAAAGGAAAGAAAATTAGTAACAAAAAATAAAAATAAAAATATTTAAAGTGCTACACACAAGATTCAAACTTGCAACTTCATGCTTGCAAGCTTAATTCCTTACCAACTATGCTATATTACTTATTCAAAATAAAAAGCCAATTGAAAGTACATGAAGACGATCAAGTATTTATTTATTCAGAAATACAAATGATCTGAAATAAATCATTATATTTTTAAATAGGTTTTGAAGCGAATATTTATAAAAATCAAAGAATATTATAAAACCAATGTTTGAAAATATTTTTTTGACCGTAGAAATAAAGTGCGGACAAATTTGGGGTATGACAAACGCATAAACACTAACGTCATGGTCACGATGGTTCTTCCCTACACCGTGGTGACATCTCTAAACTAAGGCGCTACCATATTATTTTTGTTTTTTGATTAAAAATTAATTGTATATAACAATGCTTGTGGAGTCAACCGTGGTGATACCATCAAGCTTTCATGGGTTCGAACCTCAGCGCCCTCATATATATATATATTATTCCTTTAATGTTAAGGCGCATCTTTTCTTTTTTATGTATTTTTAAATAAAAAAATTAAAGGGTTATGATTACGGGTTATGTGTTCCACCCTTGTGATACGTTTATATATTGTCATAGTTGATGTTGTAAACCGTTGTGAGCATATTTATATATAAGCGAATTAACACTTGCTCTTTGACATTAGCGTCATATCTTTCATAATAAAACCCTAGAACTCATTTTTCCCTTCTTCTTCATCATTAACATTCTTATTCTACACTATAACCGTCAATCTTTTTCTTCTTATATAAAAGTGTTCTTCTTTTTCCTTATTATCTCGTTTTCGTGTTTGTTGTTGTTATGTTTCACATGGTTTTCCTATAATTTTCTACTTGTTAGATAGTTTATTGTTCTTTTCTAGTTGTATGTTGTTCTATGTTGTTGTTTCATGTTGTGTTGTTGACAAATAAGCCTGCAGTTTCACATGTTGATAATATTCACGGTGTTTGTAGTTCTCAAGAAACAACAACAACAGTAAATTTCATCTAGTTTGAGAAGCTATGAGAAGAAATATAAGAAGTGTGAAGCTATTGTGTAAACTTCATCTATCATATATTTCTTTTTCATGGCTTCACAAACTAGATGAAGCTCATATAGAGATGATGATGGTGGTAGAAAGTGTATAATATGATTTAATAATGATACATATGGTTTGTGTAGCAATGTAAAAAAATACAAGAAGTATGAAGTCATTGTGGAAACTTCATCCACCTTGTATTTATTTTTCATTGCTTCACAAACTAGATGAACTTTATAGGTCCACGATTATTTCTAATAAAAGGCGCGTTCTATAAACAACTTAATATATTTTGTGATATTGTATGTTGTTAGTGTTTTGTTGCTAAAATGTATGTTGTTTTTATTGTGTTACATGTATTTATTGTGTTTTTGTATGATATTTTGTTGACAAATGTTCTCAAAACAAGAACAAAACATTTTCAACTCATAAGAAAAAGGCTTCTTGTGACTTACAATGTTTTGTTCTTTAAATTCTTATACAGATTGACATGTCAAGATGAAGTATAGTTTATTATATATTATGTATATTATTTGTTTCACTAGCCTTTTAATAAAATGTAACTATTTAAATTGACATAGAAACTATAATCTGAATATTAAGATATATTTGAAAACTAACCTAAATCAATAATTGTATTCTGAATTGCATGCGTCTTATTCAACATATTTTATGTTCTTTAACACATAATATATGGTTCAATGATCGGATTCGTACAATACATCGGTATCTATTATTCTACTTTATCTCATCATCATCACTTATCATCGTGATTGTTAAGATCAAGATTGTTATGATGATAAGTCATCATAACAATCACGATGATAAGCGATGATGAGGTAAACAATAATAAAAGATATTGATGCATTGAATGAATCCAATCATTAAACAATATATATGTTAAAGAACATAAAATATGTTGAATAAGACGCGTGCAATTCTGAATACAATGGTGTGTTTAAGTTGGTTTTCAAGAATAGTTTAATTTTAAGATTATATAATTTGTATTTAATAAACTATGGATACGTTCCACAATATTTTTTTATATTAACCGTAATCTAATGTAATTTATTTGATGTTGGGTTTCGAACCCAGTACCTTATATATAACAATGGTTAATAAACATAACCGTTGTAATATCACGCGAGCTTACCATTATACTACAACGCTCCCAGGATCGTGATTATTAGAATTTACAACAATACTCTACACAACAACGTCTGGTCCTACATGATTATATGTATTTACCAGCCGTTGTTAAATGGGTTTTTCGTAGTAGTGTAAGGTGCCAAACAAGTCGGGGGAGATGATATATCTTGATGCATGCCGAACTACATTTTGACATAGTCGTTGTGGTGCATCTCCATAATGTTGTACCTTATGATTGCAGTTTTTGCAGTCCAAACTACTACATCCTCAGGGTTGGGTTGATGTTCCAGACCCAAATATAGTCTCCAAAGAAACTGCAGATAAAATTATATTATAATAAGGATAAGTTTAAAAATAAATAAATTTAGAGAAGAAAAGTTCAGATGTAATACATACATCTTCTGGGCCAATGTGATCCAAAAGATTACGATATAAACTAACATTTCGTCTTGGATTCTTGCTGTAACCCATGCCCTTTACACAAAACCTATCTGTTGTACCCCAAAATTTGCCCTCCCATATTCTTCAAGATTTGCCAAGATCAAGCTTCAAAATCTCCCAAGGGTTGCACAGTCCAATTGCCTCCTAACAGTCAAAAATTAGGGTTTTGGTTCTGGCAAAGAAGTTGAAGTTTCCAAGGGTCCAATCAAGTCCCACATGCCTACATACATTGTCAAGCATCCATATGCCAAGTTTCAAGACTCACAACATCAAATTGCACAGTCAAAAACCCTAAATGCTTCACAGTCAACTGTAGGGGCAAAATGATCATTTGACAGTCAAAAGTCTAAATTTTTGGTCAACATCTTATTTTGAAGCCACCAACATCATTTGATCAATTCTTGATCATGATTCTCAAAGCATGGCTCAAAAAGTCTCAAGGTACAAAAGTTTCTATTTTTGGACAATTGAAAAAGTCAACTGCAAATTGACCAGGGGATAACTTCCACATGGTTTATCAGAAAAATTCCATCCAAAGATCATTTTGAAGAGAATGACATTTCCTACAACTCATCTTCACACTTCAAGTCCAAGAAATGCTCTCACAAAAAGTTATCAATCTCAACATTATAGGTCATTTTCAAAAGTCAACAAAAAGGCACTTTAAGTCAAAGACCATAACTTGAGATTGGTAAATCAAAATGACATGGTACCAAAGGCATTGGTTATAGGACTTCAATACCTTTCCAAAATGTTCATGAACATGATCAAAGCTTAAAAATTGAGCAAGATATGCCTTGTGGAAGTTGGGAAATTTTTGGAAATTTTGAAAAGTCAACTTTGCTTCAAATGCTTCAAAAATGATAATGGGCCTCAATTTCTTCCATGAATCATTACCAAAAGGCTATGCACGACCCATTAAGCTAAAAGGGAGTTATTTTCTTATTTTTAATTAATTAATTGAATTTTTAGTCTTATTAATTTATTTAATTAAAATTAATTATGAGAAAAATACTAAATCATGTGTTTTGAATCTTTTTGTGCAGCATTTTCATCCATTATGACTGAAATATTTTGTGCATCACTCAAAAGGAAAGAATCTTCCATAATTGGCATAATTGGCATGAAAAAGATTGAAAAAAAGATCATGGAAAATCAAATCTCAAAATCATGAATGGATGGATTTTTGGGCTGGCTTTTTGACCTAATTCATTCACATACATAAGCACAATTGAAACCTAATGCAAAGGACACAAAAGCTGCGCTCAGAACACAAGAACAATATTGCATTTTTTGACAAAAAAGTTGAAAACTGTTTTGGTATCTAGAGGACAATTCAAGGCTGCAAAAGTATTCCAAAAGCTTGCTGACACTACCA